TTCTCTTTACATTTCTAATAATAATAACAATAAATGTTTATTCACAATCAATAAAAAGTGAAAAGGAGATAAAAGAGGTTATCCCTTTCTAGTTTATCTCCTGATAATAAAATAGACTACGACATTAATTTAGATACAACTATATATATATAATACATCAAAAATAAGAACTGAGCGTTAACTAGCAAAATTTACGAAGTGACTTCTCAGCCTATTCTTAAAAATATTCAAATTTGCCGCCTCAGCGATTTCCTTTGGCAGATTATTCCAACTATTAATTATACGTATATAAAAAATGAATATTTTGAAATTATTTAAGGTCGCTGATGCAAACTTAAGTTTAAAACGGTGATTGGCTCGTAAAGGCCGAAAATCGTGTGCAAACATGAAAAAATGCCGAGGGATCAAGTCCATTAACTATATCTTATTAACCAAGCGCGAGGGCCGTACTGGGAGAATATCGGCCCGAGGTCTTGACAGTCCGGACCGAGCGCAGCGAGGTCCGTACTGTCAAGACCTCGGGCCGACATTCTCCCAGTACGGCCCTCGGGCTTGGTTAATAAGATATATTTCATGTCCACGTGAACGAATCTTTTTATTTAAACGTGACCCGTAAATCAAGAGCTGATTTTAACGTCTTTCGTGAACCCCTTTGTTTTGCGCGATGAATTTCCGGCTAATGAGCTTAACAAACACCTTCCTATGATATCTTCATGCACGTGCAAAAAAACTGATCACTTAAGTTCATTTAAGATTGATTCACGAGCACTCTTTTCCCCTCTACATTCTTTTTTAATGTTGAGGGGAAAAGAGTGCTCATAAATCAATTTTCTTTCCCGGCTTTATTAATCACCCGTACTGATGGATTAGTGCTGTTCAACGGAAAATTAGATTAATACAATACTTGGTTTGTTTTCCTTCTTCGTCTTTCTATAACGTTATTACAATCAGGTGTGCTTTTACATGAAAAAAAAAAAAAAACTCTTGTTTTAAATTTCTGACCCCACGTAGGTAAAGCCAAAGCAAAAGTAGTTAATTAAGGTTTCTTTTGCTAATGCTGCAATCCGATTGGTTAAAATCTTTCACGTGGTACAAAATACAGGTTCCTGATTGGCGACAGTACAACCAAGCGACCTTAAGCACTGGTGAAGTCATACTGTAAATATTTTATGATGTATGATATTAGTAAAGCAATGATCCTTGCAGCTGAGCTGCAATTTACGCTAAGCAGACTTTTTCAGGTTTCCTAAGTGTGATTGCTCAAATTGCGACTCACCTGAATTGAAATGATGTAGAATGTGTGACCGTGCATGATATATCACTTTGCTTAACGTACAGAGCCTGACCATGCGAAAGATATGCAAATAAATCTGATTGCCGGATGACGATTTGTACTTCCTTTGAATTTGTTGTAAAGTGGGGTGGAATGGGGGTCAGTATCCTATACTTTTCCAAATTCAACAGTCAGAGCCAATCAGAATTTGGGCAAATAGGGTTTCTGATGATCCGCATTATAGATCCTCGTAACTTTGAAGCTTTTTGTGATACAAAGTTAATCCATTTTCCAATTTTTTTACGGCGCTTCCTTATTTCATTTTAACTTTGAGTTCGCGTTATTCTATATCACATTTTTTTTTGAAGTCTTCAGTCTATATGGTGTTTGAGATTGTTGCTTGAGGCCCGTGACACATAACGAATTGAGTTGCTTAGCCGCGCCGTCGAGGTCCACATGACACTAAAAAGCAAACTTAGGCCCACCGACCAAGTTTTCTCAACAAAGAATGCTGGTTAGAACCCAACAGATATACTCTTAATTTTTTCCAAACATATGCGCAATTCGAAATTTTTTCTTCAGCCAAATTCGGATCCAAAAATTTATTTATTCCGATCCCACTCTGCTTCCTCCTTGAAATGAGATTTACCGGAAGTTGCGTTTTCAGGTTTTCCCAGCATGCAGTATTGCCGGAAGTTCTGTATTCCTCCGCGCACGCATGTCACGAATTACTATTGATAATTTTGTAATGGCGGACGTAGTGGCCCGTCGATAGTGACAGAGAGGAACCCGAAGATAAATAACCTAATCCGCATAAGATCGACAAACACTCAGACCTGTCTCCGAACGTACAACTTTTCCGCAGGGCTGCGTGAACATTTTAAAGAAAGAAGTGCCGAAGATGTCGATAATGGAAGGGACTTTGTGGAAATGGACAAACTACCTTAGTGGTTTGTAAAATTCTCATTTTACATCTCTGCTCTTTTGTTGTTGTTTAGATTTTGTTCCGTGTTGTAACTGAATTTTAAATGCGTGATCTTGGTCGCTTGTTTTTCTAACTATTGTAAAATTTGCCTCTTTTTGTCTATATCCAGATGTATTTGCAAGGAATTTTTTTTTTAAATGATATGTTACTACGATACGATGCGTTGATTTGTGACTTTCGTATTTCTTATGAGAACGGCTTTCCTTTTAAATGGGGCGTTTGTCGATAGACGTGTTCTAAATATCTCGGTGGCTTTTGATAAGATAAATTTGTTTGAAATTGTTTATTTCTGTCAATATTGAGACTTCCTTAACTCACATGGAAGGAATTCCCGCGGTTTTGATTCGCGAGATAATTTACCCGGACATGATAACTTATTTAACATTATGAAAAAATCAAACAAAGAAATTCATTATTCATTAATTATGGCCCGGAAACCACTTCACTTGCTGTGTCATAGATTAAGCGGTATAGTCAATTTATTTGTTGATTTTCACACCGTGTGAATTTTACTAAACCCTATAGGTGGTTCTTGTATTAAATAAAATGTCTGTTTCTGTTTGGAAGCTACACGTACGCACGGAAACAGAACGTGGCAATCGAAAACGGTTCTTAAATTTCAGTTTTGTTTAAAGCATCTATGTGAAATCCTTTGTCAATGGTCATCCATTTTATCAGTTTCCTGGATGCCAGAAAAAGAAAAAAAAAAACTTATTCATGACAATGTTAAAGCCATTTTACCACTACAAATTTATGTTGTCCTCTAATGAGTTTTACCTGCCCTGCTTCATTCTTTTTTTTTGCAACTGTACTTGTAGCTATCGCTATTGTGCTTTCACTTAGAAAGATCAAATTCTTGATGAGAAGAACCTCTTTTCTATTGGTGTTCTTGCCTCACAGTTTTGGTTTGATACATATTTTCATAATACACTTGGCTCTTTGTCTTTTTTCTCTCAACCCAGGAAACCTCCTGGTTTGCTCAACTGGTTAGAGCACCGGACTGTTGGGCTGGAGGTTGAGGGTTCGAGCCCCGGCCAGACCAACACTCAAGGTCTTAAAATAACTGAGGAGAATGCGCTACCTTTCTATAATATCAAGAAATGGATAGACATTCTAGTCTTCTCGGATAAGGACGAATAAACCTTAGGTCCCATCTCCTGCATTTATTAATTAATTAATTTGGTTAGGAAGGGGACGTTAAAAAACCCACTCACAAGATTACTGTGATATGGTCTGGCCTGTTTACTGGGAATTGTGTTCTGGGCCCGCAGTAATTGGCATAAGCTGTTGTGGAGTCCCTGCCTGTCAACAAAGCTAATAAAATAAAAATAAGTCTAAAGGGTAGAACTCTTGGTAGCTTCATAAGTCAATCCTTATTAACTCCTATGCATGACCAGGGCAAATAATTATCAATTATTCCACAAGCACACGTTGGATATGAGATGATAGATAGCCAACAAGGTGCGTAGCGCCGAGTTGGCTATAATCATCTCATATCCAACAAGAGCAAGTGAAATAATTGTTTTATTAAAAAAAAAACACGCCCCCAAGATATTAGACAAATCTTCTTGACTTTATTTTGTGAGAAGAAACTGGATGTTACAATGTATGGATATTAGATTATGGTATATTGGCTCATATGCCATAATGGCTCAGCCAGTAAAAAGTCTTGAATTGCATTATCCATTGATCCAGTTTTTGATAATTAACAGTTATTCCACAAGTGCGTATTGGATATGAGATGATAGATACCCAAAGAGGCCCTTAGCGCGCAGTTGGCTATAATCATCTCATATCCAACAAGCATGAGTGGAATAATTGTTTTATTAAAAACGTTAAATTAAATTATGAAATTTTATTAAATTTTTTAGCTCTCTTTTAATTTTAAGCTGGTGCGTACGCTTACCATATTTGTAGATTGTGGTATATTGGCTAATATACCATAATGGCTAAGTCAATAAAAAGTCTTGAATTACATTATCCAGTGATCCAGTTTTTAATAAATCTTATTAAATATTTGGGCTTGTAGCATTGTGGAGTATTTTTACGAGCTGTACTATTATTCGACATGCCCATAGAGTGTGAAAATACAGCATAGCTCATAAAAATACTCAGTCATACCACACACCAAAACATCAAATAAGTTATTTATTATTCACTGTTTTATAACCACTGTTTTATTTCATGGACATTTCTTACAATTTAACTATAAAGAATTGCGATAAAATCGAAAAGTTAAAAAAATTAAAAACCATCTTAATACATATTTTCATAATACACTTGGCTCTTTGTCTTCTTCAATCGGGAGGCATCTTGATCAACACGGTCTATTGAAGACTGACTTGGTTGATAAGCAATTTTCTGTTCTAAAGAAATGTAGATCAAAGTGTGATTGTCTAATTTTTGAGATGTTATTCATTAAGGAACTGAACCCTGAGTTAAATACTCAGAAAGACTCTATTCCCACCAAACTCTTTACGTGACTCTGCGTGCGAATATGTGACTCTACATGTGAGTTCTTTGTTATTTACATATTTTCAATTTTGTTATTTGTGTCTCTTAGGAACTCTTTGACATTTATATTCGTTCTCATTTCACGCATTATTGACTTGATAATGATGTTAAGTGAACGTCGAAACGTCATCGCATTTTTCTTAAACCAAGGTGGTTTTTAATTTTTTAAACTTTTCGATTTAATCACAATTCTTCATAGTTAAATTGTTTAACAAATCTCTTCTCTTGCATTTCTTACAAGTTGAGAAAAGCAAACTAGACAGAGAAGTGTAGCATGCATAGCGGATTGATTGAACAGTTTTTTTTTTTACAGTACCAACTAACCAACTGTCTAAAGATCATGTGATATTTGTACTTGATTCTCACGTTATTTGTACTTTATTTAGTGTAGTTTGATAATAATTATTTTTAAAAAAAACTTGCTACGCGCCTCATTGGCTATCTATCATCTCACATCCAGCGCGCGCTCATGGAATAATTGTTAAATACATTATTATCCAACTGCACTAAATATAGAGTACACAGTCAGAAAACATGAAAATCAAGTAGAAATAACCTGGGATATTGTACAGTTGATCATTTTGTATTGTAAACAACCTGTTTAATTGGTGCTATTTTAAAAAATATGCATGAATTAAAGCAGTTGGATAATAAATAACTTATCAGATGTTTTGGTGTGTAGTATCGCTGTTTATTTTTATTCATAATTTGTATATTGCACAACTTGTTAAAATACTCAGTGATACTACACACCAAAATGTCTAATAAGATATAAACATATATCAAGCAGAAAAGTGATGTGANAGGACTTTTTATCCTCTTACTCCCAAAATCACATTTAGCAATTCTCCTTACCGTCTGCCATATAAATCTTGTAATGTTAGCTCTGAGAAGATGGTACAGTGGAACCACTATTTAGTGCCAAGGGACTGGGGAAACTGGTTTGTTATATTGAGGGTTCGTTATATTGAGGTTCTGTGGCATACATTTTACTGTAACATTGGCCGGGCTGAAACTGACTGAAGTATTGTTCGTTATACCAAGGACTTCTTTATATAGAGGTTCATTAAATCAAGGTTCTACTGTATTGTGAGGGTTTAGTGTCTTACCCAGGGACACAACATGCTGACCTGACCAGGTTTGAAACTCAGACAGACCTTTCTACCCCTTTCATTCCCAAGATCTCATTAGAAATTCCATTTACTGTCTGCCATACAGCCCTTATGGTGTTAGTTTGGAGAATTTTGTTTTGGATCAACCTAAAATCTCCTAATTGATATTTTACTTTGTTCTCATCACCTGTCTGCTTGGTACTGTATTGATATTGTAAGGAGAAATTCTGCCTTGATCATTCATAGGAGTTCAAGGGCTACCAGTGTCCAGTGAGATGATTTTTAGGCCAGTGCATCTTGATCATGTGTCTGTTTATGATTAAAATTAGTTGTTCAATTATTAAAAAAAAAAAAGGGTCATGGTGGTGTTGATTATATTTTTACTTTCTTTCAGGTTGGCAGCCCAGATGGTTTGTGCTGGAAGTTGGAGTGTTGGCATATTACAAATCTCAGGAAGAGGTTGGACTTGGAAGTAGGGGATCAGTGAAAATGGCCTGTTGTGAAATTTCAGGTAAACTGGATAAATCATTAAGTTTGAAACAGTTGCATGTACTTCCAGTTTATGGCACAAGGTCAGTCTTTAACTTACTGTGATACTGACTCCCAAATGTGAATTTATGGAACCATGCAATCCTGATGTAACAATTTGTCAGTCCTTTCACACTTGAGAGTAATGCATCATTCAACTCAGGGGCAGAGATGATGGCACCATTGACATTATGTTACTTTTTTTGTCATATAAAACAACTGGTGTCCATGTTGCCGTGTATCTGTACAGTAATACGGCATGGAAGATGCCAAACTGTGGTTAGAATATCATTTAGTAACACACTTGGCAGCCCCCTCATGTGCCACTTTTTTTTTCTTACTACATTTTGAAGTCATTTGTGATCTATAACTGAACAAACGTACAGCATAATTATAGAATCTATTCATAAAATAAAAGCATATGAAAAGTTTAAAGTGTGACAGGTAAGTGTGACAGGTACATGAAGTTAATAACTAAGAGGAACTCTTGAAAAGTTCACAAACAATAATTAACAAATGGTAAACACCACAGCGTACACTATTGAGTTATGGATGCATGCGGGAGGTTTGCTAAGCACAAAAGAAGCATAAGAGTCGCTCGAGGCGATAGCCGAGAGCGACTCTAGCTTCTTGAATGCTTATTTCAGAGAAACACGAGAATCTTCCTTTCCCACAGTATACTGGGCATACTGACGCCTATCCTTTGCCCTTTGTAGTAAATCCGAGATTGAAGTGTAAAAGTGTTATCGTGTGGTTATCAGACCTTGAGTGAAGTTTTTGTTTTTTTCAGTCTTTGGTATATTTGAGAGCCCATTTAGGGTCTCATGTGGTGCTTGTTTGCTGGGATCGGACGTCGGTTATGATAAATAGAAATAATTCGCATTGGTACACTGAAGTGCTTGTACAGAATGCTGTTCTCCCCCTGCATTCTCAGGAATTATTGATCAATATATACATATTATCTCCATATGTATGAAAAACAACCATCGAATTGTTTAAGAGTCATTGAACCATGGGCAAATGGGGGACGCTAAATTGACCAATCAGAGTGCGCGCTTTACTTTGGTTATGTTATAATAAAGAATTGCCCTATGCAAGCCAAGTATACTGGATCTGCGTGTAGTACATGTACAGTAAATAATCAAAAGAAACCATGTGTTTAGTACATCCTACAGATGCCGTTAGGATTGACCTGAAGGTACCTCCAGACCAGTACATTTACCTTAGGGCTGCCACACCAGCTGAACGACAACAGTGGTTAGTTGCACTGGGAACAGCTAAAGCATGCTTGACAACAATGAAACATAACGGCCACTCAGAAGTGCCTGGAGAATGTAAGAAACTATATGAAATATACTTTTATGGGGCCTTATCTGTTATGATTTGATTATTCCCTTGTTTCAAATATTTTTCTCCCTGTTGTAGAAGAAACCTTGTTGTTCATCATGGTTTTGTAAATGAAAGTGTCATCAGTTATCTCAATAGAGGATCAGGCTATCAGTGATACTGATTGCGATGTTTCAGCTGAGAAACTGCTAGTATCTGTTGGGCAACAAGGTCAAAAGTTTAGGAATTGTAATTTATAGCACCTTGGTTTGTAGTTATTGATAATGTTTTCGTGCACTATATTTGGTGTATGTCAATCTCCATCATTATTCATATTACTAGATGAGGTCACTCATAGGTTTGCAGAGTTTTTGACTGGCTGTAACACTTTTTGATAAATGGCATCTGTGCTTTACAAATTTCAATTCTGTTCTCTCTGTTGAAATTATAAGGATTCACCCTTTATCACCCATGAGGGACCAAGAGAGAATTTCTCCTTTACATATCAATACAATATCAAGTATACAAGTGGTGAGAAAAAAGAAAAACATCAACTGGGGGATTAGAAGTTGATCCAATACCAAATACCGTAAATGTCCATGTATAAGCCGCATCCGTAGATAAGCCGCACCCCGATTTGGAAGTGCAGAATTTGGAAAAAAAAAAAAAAAAAACAATACAGTTTGAAGTTTCAATAAAGTTGTATAAAGGTTTTGCACAGCAGCCATGTTGGATGGCAGGAACAATGAAAATATTTTACATATAAGAAAGAAATTGTTTTCCCATGGGTGAAATAATCTATTGTACCAGCCATCCAACATGGCTGCTGTGCAAAACCTCTATTGCTACAAACAAGCAAGGTTAACTTCATAAGCAGTGTGTGGTAGACAGTGAAGAGAATTAACAAAGACATCATGGGAGGGGAAGGACTAAATGAGACAAATGATTTCATGAACATTAATTTATTATCGTCCCTAATTGTTGTCCTGAGCAGTGTCTTTTGTTAACAGCTATGAGCCAGTTGAAAGAGAAGATGCAGGAGCTGGACATGTATCGAAGTTTATTACTGCAACAAATCGGTACCATTAAGATGCTCTGCAGTAATAAAGAGGACAACCAGGTACTGAAGTAACACCTGAGTGATCAGCATCTAATTTCTCACTACAATATCACCTATGAATCAAAGATTAAGGTCACGAGAATATAGGAAATGATCACCAACTAAAGAAGCCCTTGATTCTCCTTGTCAGTGCCTTAGGAAATGTATAGAGAAGAGTATGGAGAATATGCAAACTGATATTAGGGTGTAAAGCAGGGCTCAACACTAACTTTTCAACTTACTAGCCAAGTGGCTGGTGACATCTTAGATGCTATGACAATGTTAGTTCATTTACAAGCCAAACTGGCTACTGGAAACCGAAAACCACTAGCCAAAACTGAATTTCTTCTAGTCTGTGGTTAGTGGGCTACCGTTAGTGTCAAGCCCTGTGTAAAGGCTGCACATGTAATTGGCTGTGTTTCTTATCCAGAAATCTGTTGTAGCTTCATTTGAGTTTTGTTTTTATTTTTGAAAAGGAATTTGGAGAAGCTGCAACCATGCTATCAGCAACTTGTGATGAATTTCTCAAAAATATTTGTGAATGTATGGATTTAGCAGAAAGTAATTTTGGTGAGTTGTTCTTTCATAACATTTTCAATTTACGGTGAAGCTTGGTTTTTTACTAGCGATGCAAATACAAGCAAAAGCTCAAACACAAGCACAACAGCCCTTATGAAAACGGCTTTGACGCAAGAATAAACACAAACGTAAGCACAAAGACAAGCACCAAGATCAAGATTTTACCTTTTTCTGGGGCTAGTGGTTGTGCTTTTTGATGTTTGTTTTCACTTGGCATATTTACCTTATGCTTGTGTTTGTGCATGGGCCTGTGCTTGCATCACTGGTGCAAACCAGGGTAAAGGGATTGAAGAAAGATGAAATGGTAAACTGGCCACCGTAACGATTACAAAAGCTGACGTTTCGAGCGTTAGCCCTTCGCTCCGACGAAGGGCTAACGCTCGAAACGTCAGCTTTTGTAATCGTTACGGTGGCCAATTTATCATTTCAACTTTGTAGATATATCCAAATTATTTCGTTGCTACTACCGACGCAGCCCCAAACAGTTTCTTTCGAAACTATCAGCCTTTATTCATTTGGATTAAAGAAAGATCGAGGTTAATTTTCTCCAATCACTGACCGCTAAAAGCAGTTCACCATAGAATGGACCCAAGGAGCTGTTCGCAGGTGAACGCTACCTGCTAATCCCTTCCAAGCTAGCCATTCGGCATGCGCTAAAAGCACTATTTGTCTCTCTGGTATATCCCTTTAATTCCCAGAGGTGATAAACTTCTAACTTCTTCCCATTATATCCATACAATATTTAGCAAACAGATAACGAGAATACTCAAACTTATCAGGTAGAAGCCATTATCTCGATCTAACACTAAATTCCTGTTACTAGTTTTAAAGGAAATGGGCCATTCCATTTAATATCCGCACCCCCCCCCCTATTGAGAGCCTGGGATTTCTTAGGGGGAGGGGGGGTTAATGCTTTATTTTTTCTCAGGGGGATTGGACCACATTTCTGAGAGGGGTTGCCATAAAGTACCCCTGACAGAAATTCTCACAAGTAGTTTCTGAAGGGGGTTCAATTGGTTTGCTTGATAGCTACATAAAATTCTGAAGGGGGTAATTTCAGGCAATTCTTAAGGGGGTTAAAAAATTTCTTTTCTGGAGGGGTGTTACAGGAAAGCCTTCAATGGGGGGGGGGTGCGGATTTTCAATGGAATGGCCCAATGTGTTGCAGCTTGACAGGGATTATTAACAATCAGATATTTAGAGTTAGAGGCATTTGCTAATGGGAAATAATTTTTTTCGTATTGCTGAGTCATTTCTGATAAAAGTTGTCCATTTCTCTAGGGAGCTCCTCATCTTCGCCATCTTCACCGTCAACTTCCATGAATAAGGTGTGACGGAAATATCAAGTTAAAGAAGATCAATTTTTGTATCTGAGCAACTCTGCACCTACCCCTCTCCTGACGCAAGGGTGATGGTGGGTCAGGAGAGGGGTGGGTGGGTGAGCAGTTGCTCAGATGCCAATGTTGATCCGTAAATGATTAAAAAAAAAAAATAGATAAAAATTGTCCCCTTTTGAAGCTGAAAATGTTTGTTTATTAAGTTACTAGTTTACACTTCACATGGATCAAACAGTGGGTCCCGTCCGTAAACATGTTTGTAAGAAATTCCGAACAACTTTTAAAGTTATCTTTTGGTATGTATCCAGAGTTTTTTGTCGGAAAGTAAGTGAGGTAACCCAGTGCTAGTGATGGAGTGATTGGAATACTTCAATTTATTTTTATTCGATAACAAGGCGCCTGGCGGCGTCAACGTAGGACGCATTGGTTGTTATCTCCTTTCACTCTGCTTATAATTTTAAAATAAAGAATTAAATGCTGACTCTTCCAAGAATGAAATCTTGAAATAAATAATAACAAATGAAAAATAAATAAAATCGAATAATTAAAAAAAGAAAAACCAAGGCATTAACACGGAATATGTGCGGTCACCCATCTAAAAAGTTACCCAAAGCAACAGGGTTGTGCTAATTGGCTAATTTCCATCACTGATGACAACGACACCGAAGCGAAATTTTAACATGGTCTTGCACAAGCATCCCACGTTATTAAACTGATCTGTGTTATTGTTTTCTTTTTTATCCCTAGACTTTGACATCAGCAAAGCACAGTGCTTTTCAAAAACAGTTACTCCATGATGGTCGTAGGTAAATCCATTAACTAAGAGTGATTGACTTCTTATTTCTCTATACAATATCACTGTTGAATCCAGCATTTAGGTCATGAGAATAGGGGAAATGATCACCCTCTAGAGACGCTCATAAACACGCAGGCGCGCTATAAAAGGAGCCTTAGGCCCCAATCAACCGTCGTGTGATGTAGACCTCTTAGAGTCAAGTCAGCTTGAGCTACAGCTACTCCAAAGCAGTGAACAGATTGTCAGCACCGTAGGAAATGTACAGAGAACAGTATGGAGAATATGCATACTGATGTTAAGGTGTAAAGCGTTAATACTTTCACTATCAAGTTTGAAATATCAGTCTCTCTCAATTACTGTCTTACATTCTTTATAATTTTAGCTCTGAGATTTTGATGTTCAACAGGGCCGTAGCCAGACTTCAGAACAAGACGATGCAAGTTTCGGGTCTGGCATGCCTCGCCCGGAAAATTTTGAAATCTAGAGGCTCAGAAATGCTCTTTGAAGCATTTTCCGTGGCACTTTTCTTTAGAAAAGTCAATTTTGGGCAAGTATGGAAGTTCACTTTTTTATTGCCGAGCGATACTGTTGCAAAAAAAAAAAAAAAAGGAAAAGGCCAAAATCAAGACGAGGCAATTGCCTCGTCTTGCTTCATGCTAGCTACGGCCCTGTTCAATCCAGAAATATCCGCTAACTGATATTTCGAGAAGTTCCTTGTAAAAATTAATACTTTCACATTATAGGTCTTCATCCCCTCCACCATCGCCAACCCCAAGTATTGCCAGCTCATTAAGTTCTACTTATAATGGTAAGTAAAGACTCTGACTCAACATGCAAATTTTTCTATTGAACTTGCGTATTTTTCTTGGGTGACCACAGAGGTTAAGGGTCGGACATGCGCAAGTGGATAAATCTTGCCCGGCCGCGCGCCAATTACCCGCGCAAAATTTCTAAGGAAAACATACGAAACGTCTTGCAAATGTCATAAGAATTCTGTTAAAGGAAGTAGGAAAAAAAAACCAGATACTTTTCAAACACAATGTTTGTTTAATACAAGGTTTCCTGCTGATGAACTACATATTTTGTTTCGAACTTTCACACCATGACTTACTGGGTTGTGTGGTTGTTTATTACTCTTGTGTCACTGTTTGCTTTTGACAGGCTGAAAGAACGCCTCTTAGGAAGGGAAATGCCGGCACATGCGCCGACGTATGTCAGCTGTATTGATTTTTATGTCACTGACGTCAGAAATACAAACATGCTTTGCTATTCCAGGACCACCAAGCGTCACAACCGTAAGTGACCAATCAGTTCACAGCGATAGGATGACGTCATCTGCTACCAAGCAGCTCATGACCCAGACTCCTAACCAAGTCGTAGGGAACCGTTCTTCAACAAATTCCTCTGAGCATAATGATCGGAGGCACGTTCAAGCCAGCGGAGTGTCGGCCAACCCTAACCTCAATCACAAGGCGAAGTACATAGAATTGTCTCGAAATTCCCTCGATTCACAGTCGTCGACTTCAAATTCAGAGGAAGTTAAGGAGGAACCCTTAACATTCTTCTCTGCAGCGCAATTTAGGTAAATTTAAAGCAAGTCAACTTGTGGTCAAATTCATTTTGCTAGGATACTTCTGAAAACAGGCACATATGAGGAAGCAGTTACCTAGACTTCACTTACAGTATTATTTTTCTACTTCTTATTTTGTAGGTTTGAAAACATTCAGTTAGGACCAGACAATGGTATCCCTACAAAACTATTTCTTTCATCCTGTTCGTGTATCCTACCGTTTCTAGGTAAGTAACAATTCCGTTGAAAATTTTGATAGCACAGGGTATTTTTTTTTGGTGATAAGCTTGTACAACTTAAAGGGTTTTTCCCGTCATACCATTATGAAACTTTATTTACAGATACGTAGAAACCTCGTATAATCATTGACTTTCGTCTTCGACGAGGGATTCAAGCCTTTTTTTCTTTTTTCGTGAGGAATGCTTAACATCTTACGTAAGTTACAGAATAACCTTAGGAATGCGGGACTTGGGAACGCGGGAACGCAGGAACATGCAACGAAATAACAGCGGTCACATCCAACGGCTTCAGCTTGTTATATAACGTGGCACCTGTGAAACGAAATGACAAAATATACTTTTGCAATGGACTTCCTCTTTTGTGTTATGGTTGATTATTGTTTGACCTCGTAGCGTAAACCAATAGCCAATTCATATATGAGAAAACAATCTCGTGTATGTTTGCGGGCATAGATACGTTTTTTGTCAATGACTGAGGGTTGAAATGGCTCTCTGAAGGGCCCAAACACATTTATGTCAAGGAAATTAATTCTATCACTATTATTATCACCACTTAAGAGGGCACAGAAATAATAAAAACTGAAAAAAATGTCAAAAAAACAGTCTGAACTATCACGCAAGCGTGGGAGCGGGCTAAAGTACAGTTTAGCCCAACAAAATTTCCATTTTAGCCCGCAAAATGCACCACGTGCCGGACGAAGCGATAATTATTTGTATTGATTGTCGTATTTTTGCAGATGTTCTTGGATCGACTGCATTTGCTCCTGTTAAACTGGATATCAGCGGGAATATAAAAGTAAGGATTTCAAACAAAGTGTACTCACTCTTTTTCTTGTGGCTATTTATATGTTTATATTCGTTAAAACATTTTAGGCCAACTGAGTATGTACGAAGTGTGAAATAAGCTTATCAATCACATCGTTTCGTTCTTCAACCAATCAAAAGAAAGGGAAATGTCGCGTGGTGCGAATGAAAGCGTAGAAAAAACACAAGCTGTGGGAACCGCGGGAAAATGCAGATGACCAGGTCTTTCAAAGGATAGCGCGAGTTTTTTAAACCAATCACAGCGAAGTGCAACAGATACCAGTGCAATTCCGAATTGTTTTCGGTACTCAGCTGAATGTTGCCCTACATAATTATCTCATCAAGTTTTGTATCAATCTTTTGCAGAAACTCGAAGCGAAACACGACACGGATCCGAAAGCGTTTGTTACGCTGCAAAATATCGTTTACCAAGAACTTAAAAGCAACACTTGTACTGTGAAAAACTCAGCGACGGACGCTCTGCTTTGGTTGAAAAGGTGAGTTAAATAAAATTAACCATTTAGTCAGGAAATAACGTGGAAATGTTTTGGTGGAGAATGAAGTTTTTCGTTTTGTATATCGAGGAAATTAAAGATACCGTCAAAGCACAAATGCTGATCTGAAGCACGAATCGCAAATAAAATTTACCTTTGGTAGCAATCTACTAAAACTTAAATCAAGGAAGAGTCCTGTGGTTGCCCGCTTTAATATTGGTTTTCCCTGCGTCGTTCAAAAGCTGTGGATACTTGTGTCACCCTTTAACTCCCAGATCTGATTGTAAATTCTCCCCTCTGGAAGCTACACATTTCCTCGTAAATTAGTTACAAGAATTTGGTGTTAGATCAAGATAACAACCTCTGCCTGATAAGTTTGAGTATTCTCATTACCTGTTTGCTGGATAATGTGAAGATATTACAGGAGAAAGTTTCATGTTGATCACTTGTGGTAGTTTAGGGTTAAGACTATTTTCTTATGCCGTCCTATGATAAATTTGTTTCTCTAGAGCTTTAGAATTTATGCAAGTGTTTCTCGCTGAAGTTGTCCGAGGAGAAAAAGATCTTGCTGTAGCGGCAGGTAAGGGTTTATTTATTTCATCCACAGTTCATATAACTATAAAGTTCGGAAACGACTGATAATTTTGCGTCAAATGTTTCGTCAGCTTACCTTTGTTTATTGCTGAGTGAATTTCGTTGAGTGTCAATAACTTAAAGCCAAATAGTGACAACTGCCAATCAAAACAAAGGAACTGTCACAGAGAACCAGTGAGGACTCTGAGTAAAAACCAGCGAACTGCTTTAACCATTTGCATGTAATTCTCCCTTAGAATCGCATCATTGAATAAAATCTCGCATTCTGATTAGTTAACGAAGCGAGGTCTTTAGCGTGGAATTGCGAGTTGAAAACGAGGCTAAGTGATATTGTTTCGCATCTGCGTGTACATAACAACTATAAGTAATGCTGTTTTCCTTTTTTTTTTATGTTTTTATTCAATTGTGCGATTCAAGGAAGATCCATTGCTTGACTCGTGAATTCCGCTTTAAATTGCATTTGAAAACCGATATCGCACGAATCGCTTCGCGATTTGTGCGATACCGGTTTTTGGCACCTATCACCGAGAGAAGTTAACAAACAAACAAACAAAAAAAAGAAACCAATTGATTGTAGTCCAGTATATCTTTCGTCAATCAACTGTAACTTGTTCCAGCCCTTCGAGGTGACAGACTGAAGTGCTGCTCGCGCGGGTTTCGGTCGCAGTCGAGCGCCTTTTCGACTGAATCTTCTATAGGGGTCCTTGTTATTTTACTGTGCTGTCTTGCAGTGTTTTTTTTCACGGATTAGAATTTAATTACAAAGTACTTTTTTAGGCACGGCTTACGGCAAGACACTCAGGAGATATCATGGCTGGGTCGTCAGAGGGGTTTTTGCAGTAAGTATAAGGTTTTTTTACATCATAGTGATTCTGAAATCACTATAGGGTTGGATTATCGTTTGATTATATCTTGTAACTCATTGTTTTGTAGTTGGCAGTAAAAGCAGTGCCATACAGATCGGATTTTCTTACAGCTCTCGCGACCACTGAAAAGGGCAAGGCCACTCACAAGGATGTCATACGGGACATGAGGATGTGCGTCGAGGGACTGGGTCGATTTACGAACATTATAAACCAGTTATACCGGAAGCACAAACTCGATTCGGAGGAGACTGTGTGACTTCGTCACGCTTTATTTCGGCGGAATCTTTCGTGACACTGTCACGCGTTTTTCTGCCCAGCCCACGCACACATTCAAAGCTTTCTTGCTTGGTGTTGTGTGGTTAAACACATAGCGTAGTTCAAAATTTATTTTAATTCAAAATTATTATTAACTAATTAAAATTAATATTTAAGGACGACAGTCAGTAAATATCGAATTAACTCTAGATCTTGTTGCTAAAAGAATGCGTTGGGTAGTGTTCACCGCACTTGCGTTCAACGTTCTACCGCTGTGGACTGAGTTCGATTTCTAAAGGTGGTGGGAAATGTGTGTTGAGTTCATTGTTGGTTTTCCCTGTTGCTCTGAGGAGTTTTGTTTGGAAACTGTGGTTTTCTTCCTTCTTAAACCCTAACACTTCTAAATCCGGTTCGACGTTGAATCGGTACCAGGCTTCCCCCAATACTCCCCATGTTGTTATTATTCCTCGCGAAGTCTTCGAGCTCAGCGGAAGTTTCCATCAGCCCTTTCACTCGCAAGATTTCATTAGAAATTCTTCTTATTGTCTGCAACACAATTCTTATGATGTAAGTTTAGAGATTTCGGTATTGGGTCAACTAATGATCCACAAATAGATATGTTTCTTCTCACTTGCCTGCTAGACGTTAGGTGGAAGTTGTGAGGAGAAATTCTCTCTTAGTCACTTATGGGAGTTTAGTGGTTAAGATAGTAGAATTAACAATTCTCACGTGTTTTTTGTGTAGAGCATTTGACTGCAAAATATAATCTTTTTTCTTCATTCGTGAAAAAATTTAACAGGCAGGAATAACTATTCAAAATCTCTTCGTTATTCTCGCTTTTATTGGCTGTCGGTCGTAATATATTGAAAGAAATCAAGAGGTATCTAAATGGGATAATATATCTTATTAACCAAGCGCGAGGGCCGTTCTGGGAGAATATCGGCCCGAGGTCTTGACAGTACGTACCGAGCTGCGCTCGGTCCGTACAAAAAAGACCGAGGACCGATATTCTACCAGTATGGTCCCGAACAAGCTTGGTTAATAAGAGATTTATTATACAACTGAAGTTCAAAGGGACACAAGTGCGGTATCATTCGGGACAGTGCCCGGTTCAAATACTGAGAGAATATTGACCGGCAATAGAGCATTTTGATTGGTTGATTTTAGTAATTGGCCCTCTGACTGCCCAAGTCGTGTAATAAAGCACATTATGTAATTTAAATACTGTTTGATTCTTTTCAAAGACTCCAATGGTTCAATATGATAACAAAGTTGATCACACCGTGACTCTTGCCATGTTAAAAACTGTTATAGCAAATAGTTGGAAAATTATAAATCTGATTGGGGCACGGTACACGATGTCTCTATTGGTTGGTGCCAGCTCAAACCACGCACAATCAGAGAAAAAGTGAGAAAAGTCGCAATTTCTTGGTTTTCCAGCTTCCATCCTTGTCCCCAGGCCTTATCGGTACCCTTCAGGCATGGTCTTGGCTCAAGAAATGGCTTCATGCCGAGACCCTACCGGCTAAGAAAAACCGACGGGTCCTGGGTACGAGAATAGTCGACGTAGCATATCGTTCCTTACCGTTTACTGTAATCCAAATGTGCTTCGATATTTCCAGAAATATCCGCGGGATTTGCCCACACTGAAATAAAAATTTGGCCTGTTGGATAATAAATCTCTTATTAAACGTTTTGTTGTGTAGTATCACTGAGTATTTTTACACGTTGTTTGCATTTTGACTCACGGGCTCGTAAAAATACGGCACAACTCGTAAAAGTACTCAGCGATACTATACAGCAAAACTTCTAATAAGATATATATATTTAGTCCAAACTACAATTAAGTTGAGCAAAATAGATATTCTTTTTATCTTAAGGCAGTTTTGTACAAATGCATTCGGGAAAATTTATCGTTCTACCTGACGGTCTACTTAAGTAAAATTTTTGCCATGGCAACAGATAATGCCTGACGAACCCCCTTAAAAGATTGCCCTAACATAGTGTTATGCATATGTTGAGTTATTATCCTGATGATAAGTTTGATAGTCCTGATATCTTTTACTGATTGGCGCTTGCTGTTCATTGTTGAAAACCCTTTCGAGCCTCCTTAAGTAAAATCAAAAGATTAAAACGCCATCAAATAGTTACGGTTTCAGTGACGTATGTTTTATGAGTTAAAGTTCCGTGTTTCTTTTTTTTTTTAACTGTTCCAGTACATTAGTACGTGGGATATGATTGGTCAATTTAACGGGCTGAAATTCAATGTACGGCCCTTTCAAAAGTTTGTTTGAAATGAAATCTTTGCTCTCTACTAACTATGCTCTCTATTTGAAATCAGAGATGAAACAGACATTTTACTGACCTTGTTTTCTCGGTCCGTACTGTAAGTTATGGAAACCAGTTTTCCGTTCTTTTTATGAACCAGTGTTTGGCTATAAATCTGAGCGGACAAAACTTGGTGTGTAATGTAACAGTAGGTACCTCGAACTCGGTTAGTAAGATGTACTTGTCCAGAGGACAGATACAAAGAATTTATAACATAATGAACATAGTATTCATCGTCTGATTGGTCAATTTAGTTTCCAAGCGGATGCTTTATGAGGTTAAAGAGCTCGCTTTTAATTAGCTATGCCATAAGGGCAAGAGCCTTCCGCTCGTGGTTTATAAGCTTTCCTCGTGTTCTCTTAACATCCCGCGTGGCTTTTCACGTTATAGAGCCCGGAAAAATGTGTTCCCCGGCTATTGCTTAAATAGAAAACAATTCTGAAAGGTTTAGTTCTCTGGCCAGATGAAACATTCAGTGACCTAATAACTCACAGCGTTTATTAAAGATGTGTATTATGATTTATGGATAGAATTGATATCTCGTGTTTTGCTAAGTGCAAATTTTGATAAATTTTACCGGCTGCCGCATCCCTCAGTCAGTCTCGGTTTTCAAAATGGCGGTGTTCTCGGCCGCTTGGAAGTACTTCTCGGGACCCGATAAATTTCTCCGAAAGGAGTTCCGAAAAGTTTCTGTCATATAAAGAAACGCAAGCCAGTGCCATTACTTCGCGTAGCTGGTGACTGTTACGCTTTGTGGACATTCTACCAGTGCAGTAGCTTTATGACAATGTAACAAAATCGAAGTGAAGTTTATGTTCGAATTCTAAATCAACTGCCAATGTTTTCTTTTTACAGACAATTTAGAACTGCACAAGGGATTTTGTGTCCCTTATGGGCAAACTTGAACTTAAGTCGGAACGTAACAATGTTTTCAAAGAATGCTTAAAAATTAAGGGAACTTGGTTGTTTATAGATATTCAAATATTCTTTAGTTTGCAGACTTCCATTTCCCATTTGAATTTAATTTCAAATTGGTTGATAAGCGAACGAAATTAATAATTTACTAACAATTCAAGTGGAAAAAGGCCCTCTTTTCGATTGAAGTTTACATAGAAAGTCATCAATGCGTGAAATGTTCGAAAAACCTCTTTGCATTCAAATGACAGACAAACGGACACCAAAATAAAGTGTCTATAATGGGTGCGAATGAATAAAAGGTAGAAGAAGATCTGTTTAAGGAAGTGTTGGTTATCGAAAGAAATGATTGCAGGCGAGTGAAATTCAAAATGAGTGATCCTTATTCAAATAACGAAGCCCCGGCCGACAGAGACGAAGAGATGGAGGCATTTGATATCTCACCGATGGCTTTGTCCTTCGAAGCCGCTGGAATTATAGGAATGTGCTCGACAATAATTATCGGCAATGGTCTCTTGTTTGTGCTGAGTTTCAGAAAACCCAGTCAGTCTTATACGGGAAATACCAGCCTTCTTTTCGTCGCTGTGACAGATATGTTTACGGCCATTATCACAATGCCACTTATGGTTGCATCGTTGTTGGAGTTAAAGTGGAAATATGGTGACTTGCTTTGTAAAGCAACCGGAGTTTTAACGATGCTTTTCCTCTTTACAAGTCTACTGGTACTTTGCCTTGTTTTATTACATCGTTGCTGGATTGTGTTTTGCTCAAATGAAGAACTGGAGGCTATGGCGAGAAAGCAAACGTTAATATTTTTGGTTGTCGTCGTCCTTGCCATTGCCATTGCAAGCCTGGCGTTTTTGATTAACTGGAGGAGATTTCTCTCCAATCCAACAAGACTCCTTTGTCGGCTTGCAAATTCACCAAACTATGTTGCTTATAGAATGTATTACTGTATCTTCTCCATGATAACACCTTTGTTGATCATAATTTTGTTGTTAAATCGCAAACCACAACCAGCCACCTGAATATAATTTGTTTTTGATTTGGAACCTACATGTTATCAGCATCGAACTATGGTCTAATTCGGGTTCCCCGTGAAGTACATAAAAGTTTCCCTTCTCCCACCCGCGAGAAAGCGAATGTGATTCCGCTTAAAATTTGAAACCTTTCAGTGCTTTCAATAAATTTTTCCGTAGGCAGCTACCGATGGTGTCAATTGGCGGCCGAGCTCGAAAAGGGGCCGTAAATCGTCGTAAGGGAAAACCCAAACACGAGAGCCTGCTGTCAGGCTAAATATACAGCGGTAATAGGTCTTATAGGCCGCGGTTAACCTGTAACCGCCGGCGACTGGCTAGTATTGAAATACCTGCTACTTTTCGAATTCTAATTACAACCGAGACGCTTTTGACATTGGTGATCCTTGCAGTACGTCTGCTGCTTAGCTAGGTAATTTTGGTTTTATCAGCTGACCTGAAAATGTAAATTGGCCACCTTAAAGAGCCTCAAAGCTAACGTTTCGAGCGTTAGCTCTTCGTCAGAGCGAATGAATAAAAGCTTGAAGAAGATCTGAAGTGTTGGTTATCGAAAGAAATGTTTGTGGGCGAGTGAAATTCAAAATGAGCGATACTTTTTCAAACGTGGCCCCGACTGACAGAGACGAAAAGATTACCTAGCTTGCTAAAGAGATAGAGATTAGTTGGCTCGCTAAAGAGATTTTTGTAGCTCAATTTTAGATCATGTAATCGTGAAATCCGAAAGGTCTAAGTCTGGAACTCAGTCTCGTAGGGCTTTCGTATGTTTCCTCTTTCCCATGTACGTTACACAAGGAACAAAAACATTTTCATTGGTCCCCTCACCAAGCCTTTTTGCAGGACATGATTGAAAGCGTTCAGAGACGAGCCACGCGACTCATGATCAAAGGATGATCAAAGGATGATCAAAGGATGGAGCGGTTGAAATCTCTCCATCTTCAAACCCTTAAGTCTAGAAGGACTCTACTTGACTTGATCTTCTTTTACAAATGTTTAAAGGGACTCTTAAATATTAACTTATCTAGTTTTATTATTTCCAGAAAAAATGTAGCATATGAACTAAGAAATGCTGATTTCTCATTTAAAACTCAATATGCGAGAACAAACATGCTAAAATATTCCTATTTCCATAGAACAGTTAAAGCCTGGAATTGTTTACCTATGCATGTCAGAAAGTCTGTCTCTTTCTGATTTTAAGAGTCTTTGTAAGGCTTATTTATACCAGGTAGACACTGAATTAACCTAATTTATTATTATTAATATTATTATTATTACTATTATATTATTATAAATATATATAGGTGTGTGTAGTGTTTTTCTTTTTTGGGTGGCCTTTTGTAAGGGAACCTGTCCCTGTTTCTTGGCCTTCCCCTCAGCTTTGTATATGTTGTATATTTTGTATATTTTTGTATATGTTCATAATAAGTTTGTTGAGAAAATTATTAAAGTAAAGTAAAGTAAAGTATTCGCATCTTTTGTTGTTAGAAAGAAGAAGAACCTTGGTTTACGATAGTGAGATTGCATGTAAGACTTATACAGGAAAAAATTCTGCCATTGTATCTTCCAAACGTAATCAGCCCCAGCAAAGGAAATAGTGCGTTTATTTTCGAGCCAGGTGGTGTCCCTCAGGCGCAGTTTCCAGTGTTCCGCTTCAGGCCCCAGATACTCTCTGATAGTCAAATCCAAGGCTATTAATTTTTCAAAATAGCGGACCACTCCATTAATTTTGACCAATTATTTTGTGACTTTGCTGTAAATAATCTTACATTTTTCATATACATGGAGTACTGAACCTTCTCATTTATCTACAATTTAGTTTTAACGTTCAGTGTTTAGTTCATCGTTTTAATTGATTAGAAAGAGAAGTGGACCTTTCGTTACTGCTGATGACGTCCCGAAGCCACTGAGGAAATATCAGTTAATTTTCTTCAGTTTGTTGTTTGAGACAGGAATCATTCTTGAGAATTTTTCCCCCAAGCACGAATGCTCTGCCATGCTTAAAATTTCTCAACAGAAATTTGAATAAAAGATGTTGTTAAAAGATATGTTCCCATTACGTTGCCAAGATACAAGAGAACCATTTGTGCAAACAGAGGTTGCATCTCACTGAGACTGGATCAGCTTTATTTGCTCAATTTCACAGACTTGATTTTTATTTAAGGGAGGGGCATGCGTGTTACATATTCATTATTTATGACCAGAGCCGTTACTTTTGCCGACAGCGACTGAATTTTAATCAATAACGATCAATTTTATACAAATGAATTTCCATAAAATAGATCAACAGAAACTTCTTCAACCAAACTGAAAAGCTTTTAATTTCTCCTTCCTCTATTTCGACGCAAGATTTTCCATGAAAACCGCATGTTTTTCTTTGGGTGACCGTTTTGAATTAATGTTTTACAAGTTCCTGCTGGGTAAACATGTTTGATTTTAATTTCTTACGCTTCAAATTTCTCCTTATTCCAGGTAAACGTTATCACTTCTCTCGTGATTTACTACATTACAAGACCCTTACTTTTTCAAAGTAAACCGACACACTGCATGATTCTAGAACCATGGTTTCAAAATCATAATATATTTGATATGTTTATTTTCAATATTGTTGTCAATTTAGTGAAAAATTTATCCACCCTTTACTTATCCACGTTGAAATCAATTTAATTTTCGTTGCTGCGTAAAGTACCCCTTTTCTTCCTTGAAAGGCTCCAAAACCCTTGCATAGATTTCTACGATAGATTTATCAGTTACAATTAAACGATTTTATTCCAAAACGGGTACTCTCGTTTTAAATGGTATATTTCAAAGGTTATGAAATATTCATGTTATTTTTGATTAACCGAGGGCATATCATATTGCAGAATCTCTTAAAATCTGAGAGTCTTGTTTAAAATGCAAACAGCGTACGTAGTATGCGAGATAACGTAATGGAGGTTTCTGACAGCTCGAAAGTGCTATGCATTCGCCTGGCTTTATTTTCAATCTATGTTTTGGCTGGAGCTGCCGTTTTTCAAGCAATTGAAAGCCAAGAACAACTTCGAGAAATGAAACGCTATCGAGACACGAGGATGGAAATTTTGCAGAAATACAACATCACTGCAATCGACGCCGACCGTTGGTTGGAAACTTTTCCTTCGACTTCATTCGGAAGAGAGGATTTTCTGGAATGGGATTTTAGCAATTCTTTTCTTTTCGCGATGGTAGTGATAACTACAATAGGTATGATTACCGATTGTTTCATATAATAAGGAAAGTTCACGCCTAACGTAAGCTTTTCACACAAGTCTTCATCTCAAAAGTTTTCACTTACAGTTTTGCATGACGTTTAACGAAGTAGACTCCACATCCTAGTCGATTGTCTTGACCACGATGGCGCTAACATATCTTTCAGTAGCTTCGTGCTAATGATTTTCGTGCGAGATTAAACAACACTAAGCTTTTAATGCATTATAGCAGACAAAATATGCCAGCGTCAAGTAGAAAATGATAAGTATTCTCAAAACTATCTCGAGTAAACCGGATGAATATAAATGACCCAAGGCAAAAATCGCCTTTATCGTTTCGCGTTTTTTTCTGAAGGAACTGTAGTTAAGTTATCACCATTTTCCCGTGGATACCAGCTAAACTGTACGCCACCTTCGTGATCCGTGGTCCATCAGTTTACATCACCGGTTTTAGGATATTGCTTAATAAGGCCATTCTAAACTTTCCGCTCAGGCGGAAATAGTTGGCACTACGCAAAAACTTCTAAAATTGAAACAGTTCACGAAAATGTTTCATAAAACCTTCAGTGTGTATTTTTAAATTTCTTCGCCTAAGTAAACGTAGTCTTTATTTCAGCAAAGAGAAAGTCAACAGTGTTCAGTCTACAAACATCAATTTTGAGAGCTACGCCTTTTGTTCGTTCCATCAAGTTTTCATTTAAAAGAATTCACGCAATACCACACAATTAGAGATTCGTGCATTGGTGGTTTCGAGGGACACAATCTCTGTACTCAATTTTAGTTGCCTGTACTTCTCTCTTAATAAGAAAAAGCGTACCTACAAAACAACAACGAATCCTTTATGCAATTCGTTTTCACAAACAAAAAACTAATAATCAAGTAATTTTTTATTAGTGAGGCAGTTTTCTTCAAGAAATTTAACTGAGAAACACATTTTTTTCGACAGCGATTAAAAAATTTATGTGCAGAGAAACGATTTATGATGATAGCCAAAACAACTTCGGTTTGAAGTCACGTTTCTTGAAACATCTATTACTTTTTATTGTATTTTTTTTATAATTATTTTTTCCAATTTTAAGGCTTACACATTCTATTTTTCTTGATGATTTTGAAAACCTTTCCACCAATGTTTTTGCTTTAAAATACAAAAAACAGTCGTGAAGAACACGCTGAGATTAGCTGTGCGAAAAAGGTTTTGAATGCAGAGCTAATGCAAAATTAATGCTCATTATAATTGATCTCTGCAAGTTAAAAGATATTCTACTTAATATGAAGTGTTTTTCATACTCTTTGAGGCAGCGCAAGGATCATTATTTTCAATAAACCACACTTCTTCAACCGCTTCCTCGCCCCAACTTGCCCGTCGAGGACCGCGAAGGACTGGGGAGTCGGGATGAGGAGCGGTAGGAAATCCTTGGTGGAAGATTCATTTCATTTTGGAATAAATTCTTGCCATTATTTTGAAAAATGTGGCCCTTACGTTGCAGATAGGCATCAAATTAAGAGCTAATAAACAAGTTATAGCCACCTTTACGGCGTAATAAACAATTTTACGTAAATGTATCACCCAATAGCTTTCATTTGAATTGTCACACACTACGGTTTCATCCACAAACTTAAAAGTTAGAACCACATACGGCATTCAATATAAGCCGGATAACGACGGTCTACCCCTCCTTCCCCCTCCCTATAAGACCTGTTACCAACCTCCTGACCTTACAGCAGACTCTCGTCAACCTCTTTCCCAGGGCCTTTTCACTTATTTGGGAAAAGGCCCCTTTTCCGGATACAGCCTCCTCTCCCGTCACACCATGGACAGTCTCTTATGCAACCTCGTTCCCAGGGCGCTTTCCCTCTTGAAGGAAAAGCGCCCTGGGAACGAAATTGCCTCCTACAGAGAAAAGTTACCTTAAGCTTGTGCCGCATAAAGAACAAAGCCAAATGAACGTGCTACTCAATAGCTCTTATATGAATGGTTACACACCAGGGTTTTATCCCTAGAGCTAAGACTTACAGCCAACTTTCACAGTATAATCAACAATGGCACGTAAAGACACTTGCCTAATAGCTTTCAATTAAATGTTCGCCATACCAGGGTTTCCGTTCAGAAATTGTAAGGATTAAAATCGTGTCAGTGCAGTGGAATTAACAGCACTACATTGAAATTCAATAGCATTTATGTGAGTAGTCACACTTCCCTCTGAACACCATGTGATCCCCTCGAAAAAATCACCTAACCACCCTCTCCCCTTAACCCAGGCATCAAATAATGACCGGCCCTTTTAAAAGTTTTTTTTGTCTTTTCTTAGGTTACGGGAACATTGTACCTAAGACAGTGCAAGGTCGTCTATTTTGTGTCGTCTATGCTCTATTCGGAATCCCTGGGACGTGTTTAACCCTCAAAGCCGTCGGGGACAAGATCGCGGAAATATTCACAAGACTCGTTACAACCTTTGAGCAACGTCTTCTGAAACGACCACACTCTCGACACGTTGAGCTTAAAGTAGCGTTTGTGACAATTTTTTTAACTGTAGTTCTCTTGTTGCCGCTGATGTCTCTTGTAGTGAAAGTAAGGCACCAGGAATGGACTTACATCAGTAGTTTTTATTTCACATTTATCACGCTGAGTACGATTGGATTCGGAGATCTTTTGCCGCAGTTTGACAAAGACGCGGACTACATCCTTGTGCTCTTGGCGTTTGTGGGTCTTGCGTTCGTCTCTAGCATTTTCTGCTCAATGAATACAGTTCTTGAGCAGTATGGGGTGAGTGTGCGCATGGTACGGTCTTTGCGCGATAAACGTGCAGACGGGGAAGAGTTCATCGCGGACGAAGGCGCAGACTTAGACAACAAGGATAAATCCACGTGCGATTCAAATGGCTTACAAGATGGTGCCGTAATTGAGAAGGAGACGCATGTTCTTCAAACCAATAATACGGAGAACGAAGAAAATGGCGAGCTGGAATTAAAACCGCTTTCTAATCGAAACAGTTTGATTATAGACGAGGAGGGCAAAATGGCAAATCGCCGAAAACGAGGAAGCAGCGTCAGTCTAGGAATATTCCAATGCTAAGTGCAAATATCAACTTAATAGAAAATGTAGTAATATATAAAAATAAATTCTCACGTGGTAAAGCTATAGTGTAGTTTCACGTTCTTGAATATTTTATCGACCCTGCAGAAAAAATGTTCTACTAAAACACACATTGATTAGATGATACATTACAATATTTCAGCTATTTGGGCCCAATTGGTAAGGTTTCCTCAGGCAGACAATTGCTTTTAAACGTGCAGCTACCGTCTTAAGGTCATCTCCAAATAACAATTCAGAAAATAACTATTTGTGCATAATTAAGGAGAGGACAATTTAAGAATATATTACGTCTCGAACCCGTTACGCTTCGTGATCAAAGTCGAGGAGCTAGGCATGGTGACGCTTTGCTGAAGCAAAATATTTCTTCAAAGGTAGAGCAAGATATTGTACTCTCTTCAAGTTGGAGTAAAGGTATTGTAAAAGTGTCCTTTAAAGGGATGAAAATCTCGCTTGTGTTTCCAAAAAAATTCACGCAGGAGGCTTAAGCAGTATCGAAAGTATATAAATTGTATATATTTTTTTCACAGCATAGCTTGAAGTTTAATAGAGTCGATGAAGTAACACTTGTGTTAAATATCCTCATGACGAAAAATCTGTTATGCTCGATGTCGGTGTATGTCATTTTTACGCGGCCACTAAGCCAAAAATTTGTGGCAAAATGTCGACAGCTGCCGTGGAAGAAAAGTGTTTTGGGTTTTGTTGTTTTGAAATAAAGATAATCGAAAACTTTGCAACTCTTTTTTCGCTCAGCATGTTTAATCAAGAAGTGCGGAACTTGCCAACCATACAGAAGACCAAAATGAACCGCAACTAACGACTGTGCTTGGATTTGCTTTCCTTTTGTTTGCTGTCTCGACGAATAAATTGGTTTCGAAGTTAGTACTGGTAAAGTTCGAACCATTCGCCCAACACTCAACAAAGATACGACATTAAAAGGATTTGCTTCAATTTTTTTCCAGGGGGCCACCACTCCGTTAAATACGGCCTTGATTTACTGATGCTCTTTCAATGTTCGTTCCTTTTTAATCAAAGTTGACGAACAGCTAGGTGTTGGTAGATCAAACTGCGTTCCAACGACCTAAGTTTGTCAGAAATAAAAGTGATGTCAAACTTATCAATAACCGGCTCGAATCGTAAAATTTGTTCGTCCGAGTTGAAACAGTCCCTTATTTTCACCGAAGTCCATCGCACAGGTAAAAAAAGAAATCAGCGAAAAGCGCTGATTTATTTTTGAAAAGCATCGCTGCGGCAAACTTCGTCGAAAAGGAGGGACCGCTCGTTGTCTAGTCAACTTTCGACGGACAGAACTTCACGAGATGGCATCGAAAAGGTAAACTTCGACTTTTGAACTAAACATTGAGCTCTCCTTAACTTGAATCGATACATTTAGGTAAATACATGTAGAATTCGACTTTTGAAAGGCCCGGTAATGGGTCATTACTTATTTCTTTGCGGCAGAACGTTAAGGGTAATCATATATACGCCTGTTGAAATTGCTCCGCCTCGATTGTACAATTATTTTTTACTTTTTTTAAGTGTTCCTTTGTTTATTTACGCTTATATTAAACAAGACCTTTAAAATCTCATTTATCAAGTCGACTTTACGGTTTATTGATACTTGTTTTACTCTTTTGCGCGTACGATTGCTAAGTTAGAGTTATGAACTTCATCATATCTACAGCTTCCGATCAGTTATCTGCGATAATAAACGTAGAACTGATCAGAACGAAAATTCAATCCTAATGGACAGAAAAATAAAAGCGAATGTCGGATTAAAAGTTAAGTTTGAAAAATGCACCCATGATGTACATCATACCCCAATTTTTTTCTTTTAAAGGCTGATCTTTTTAAAATACATTTCTGGGAATTGCATGACCATCCATTTATTTTATCACTTTACTTACAAATTACTAAATCTATTCCGAGGAATATCTCAATATTTATTGATCTTACTTACCAAAAAATTACAAAATGTATCTGAGGTCAAGGAAAATTGCTTTTCACTGATTCAGCATTCGTTTTGTAGGACTTGCTTTGGCACTGTAAACACTGGTGTTAGAAGTATGGAGGTATCGAAATGAAATTATCTTTCTTATCAAAGTGATATTTTATGTTTTTCTCTTATTTCCAAGCCTCGCGATAAAAAGTCTCTGAAAATCAAAAAAACAAATAACACCAGTCTTTTATAATCAAAATCAGGATTAATGTTAAAGAACCTGACAAATCTCGAATACATCACTTCAGTCCGAGAATTCGAAACAGAAAGGATAACTATAGTGTTACCAGAGAACAAAAAACAGTTGAAATCTATTTACAAACGATCGATCACACACTCAAAAACTCAAGCATCAGATCGAAGAACAGTGTCCTAAGACTTTTCTTCAATCGTTATTCTTCTTGTTCTGTTCAAATGCCTTTTCTTCGGTAGTTCCAGTGATACCTTCAGCAGGCGGTGGCCTGGCCTCTTTCGGACGCCAGATAATGCCATATTGAGCGGGATGAGCCCACTGACTCTGCCCTCCTCCGCTGTACAGGTGGTATGAGGCGCAGTCTTGACAGTACCTCACGTCCTTGCCTTTCCCACTCTTCTCTTGATATTAACGTTTCCTCTATTTCGGTTGAGGTTGGAACACGATTACCACGGCTGACTGCAGTGCCCATCGCTTTTAGACTCTATTCTTTACTTTTATCATCAAGAGGACACCATCGAAATTGTTTTTCGCTTACCCTTTTTCAAAACGTTGTTTAACGCGAGAAATTTCCATGGATTGCTTTTAAGGAGCTATGAAGCGAAAAGCTGTGGATTTGACGTAATTGTTGCCAAGGTGAAAGACGTGATGTCATGGCATATCGACGTATCATAAAAGCGTTGAGCCTATTTTGTGAGAAAATAGGGTGAAAGTTCGCTTTTAAAATAACCTTTTCCGTTTCTGTTCAGTTCCAAACGACATATTCAAAAAGCGAGTAGATTTCCTTCCAGTTGCTCATGGTGACGGAGATACCGCCATAGTAACAAACTTGACGTCAATTTTTATGAGTTGATCCTATCCTGTGAAAGCTAGGATCCGACAATATTCGTGACGATAAGGCTGGTTATCGTTAAGTCCTTCACAGTCTATTCGCGTTCCAACCAGCCCAAAACATGGAGTAGCACTGGGAAGGAACACAACCTCGATGCCAGAGCCAACTCTACTTACAGTCACGGCACTTCATATGAAGGTAGATCCTGGACAAAATGTTCGATTCGTCGTTTCGTTTTGGCGTTTCGTCGTTTCGTTATGTCGAGTCGTTGTTTTCCGAGTTCGACTCGTCAAACTTTCAGTTCGTTTCGTCGTATCGTCAGCTCGTCGTTTTACGAGCTCGACTCGTCATCGACCACATCTGTTCGTCGTTTTGTCGTTTCGTCGTTTCGTTATGTCGTTTCGTCGTTTCGTTATGTCGTTTCGTCGTTTGGTTATGTCGTTTCGTCGTTTGGTTATGTCGTTTCGTCGTTTGGTTATTTCGTTTCGTCGTTTCGGTATGTCGTTTCGTCGTTTCGACCCGTCCACTCAAGAGGAGCTATAATTCAACCTAAATTACATGAAAAGTTACTTGATTCCATACACTCTTAGATGAATCATTATTCTGGTATCTATAATTTGCCCTCTGCCGAAGGAAATGGATCCTTTGAAGAGCGACTTACACCACAGCATAGAATTCGTCTTGAGTCGAGTGAGTGATCATTTTCAGGAAAGTGACAATGGAATTGGATACCTAGTAACACACCTTGACAGAGTCTTCTATATTCTAGCTCGTGCATGTTCGTTAATTAACATTCCTCCTCAGCTGGAGTGTTTGTTACATAGAGCTCGTTTGTTGTTCTTGGTGGCAGTGACAACTCATTGTAAGGGCGGTTGTTTAAGTTTACAGGATGCAGGGGTCGTCCCAGCATAGATCAGGGACCTTTAGCAGTGAAGACGAGAACGTGAACGTGACCGACCGGAGGTTGGGAAAACGAACTTCGATACTACCACGCATGCCCAATCGAGCACGAGTCGTCGTCCACATGTCGTTCAGGACGCCATTTGCTGCCATTCGCCGTTTTGACGAGAACGTGAGTATGTTTTATTTGTTTTCTAATTTCTTCTTACCTATCTAAGGGATTTCTTCAATCTAAAGGGTCGGTTAGGGAATAAAAACAGTGCCGAAAGTAATTTGATCGAGCCGTGATGGAAAAAAACTTTATTTCTTTCGAGTTGCAGATTGAGCTTTACAGTTTACAGCGGGGAAATTAATGGCGGATGATGATAAAAGTGCTGCAGGGTATGTACGTAGCCTTATAAATGCTTTTCTAAATATAAATCGCGGACATTTCGTTATAGTTTTGTAATTTATACCAGCTGGCATTTTTAAGAAGATTTCTGGGCTTTAAAAAATATCCGAACCGCTCGGATCGACTGTGTATGTAAACTTAGCTTAGCTCTGAATCACTTGACGTTGATTACAACACTGAAAAAAAGTCAATTTGTTTTAGTGGATAATTTTTGCATTTTCAAATAAGCAGTTAAGGACTCGTCCGCGTAACCGATGTGCGAAAGTATTTATGTTTCCCGCCGTGGACGACGGTTCCGTCCCAGGCCTAAATCGGTCATATACGTCGTCGTCCACGTTCTCGTCGTCAGTGCTAAAGGTCCCTATTCCCAGAGAACTCCTGGAACAGTAACTTGAGAACAATTTTAGACATATTTAAAATCGAGATTTTAGTTTTTGGTAGTTTTTGCCGTTTGAACGAGCTGATGGTAATGCATGATTCCTACGTTTTGAGCGTTAGCACTTCATCGTACAGCGAATAGAATGGGCAGGTTACTTTTCATCATCTTCTTTTTTCACCGCAGGAGAGACTCGACATTAGTACTCAATTCTAATTTTAGCAATACATGTTACGTTTTAATGCCACACTTCCACTACTAAAGCACTGTGCTTGGAACTGGGAAAAAAAACTAGAACTCCTTAATAAACATGTTTTACTAATGATCCTTGGTGAAAAAGTCGGTACATACGAGGTGCTTTTGGAAAGTCTAAACCTTGTCAGCTTGAGAAAGAAAAGACTTTTTCATATATTGATTTTAGTTCAAAAGTCATTTCGAGCAGCCGCAGCTGCGTACGTAGCAGCATTATTTACACCGAAAACAACGTTAATGGGCCTAGAGGTATAAACAGGTTGCAGTTACCATGTGTATAAATACTACATCTTATGGGAAAACTCCTTCAAATTTCTTGCGGCCAAATTATGGAAATTGTTTTTTAACAAACAACTGCCTAGACTTTACAAGCATATATGCATCTGTTCTCTTTTTCTCTTTCTTCATTAATTGTACATATATTTTTCACTCTATTTATTTCTCAGAGAAGTGCTTGTACTTCAATCCAAGTTGAAATAAAGTTTTACTACTACTACTACCACTACCACTACCACTACCACTACCACTACCACTACCACTACCACTACCACCACTACTACTACTACTACAACAACAACAACAACGACAGCAACAGATCAATTATGACAAATGGAAATCTCTCATATGGTCTCTTTGGTTGGGATTAGGGGAATTTCAAGCCAAATGGCAATCTGTTATGTTTTCAAACTTGAT